CCGCCCGCCCGCCCGCCGCCGATCTCCCAATCCGGCGCCATGTTCAACAAGATCATCAAGCGCGGGGCGCGCAAGGGCGCGCGCGGCCACGATGCGGCGGCGGCCGAGCCCCGAGGCGCGGCCCCGTCCTCCTCCTCCGGCGGGGCGGCGCCCGTCACCGTCAACCACGCCTCCCGCGCCTCCGCCTCGCCCGTGCCGCCCTCGCCCACCTCGCCGCACGCCGCCGCCGCCGCCGCCTCCCCCGCCCCGGCCGCCGCGCAGCAGCCGCCGCTCCTCGAGCCGCTCCCGCTCCTCCGCGACGTGCCCGCCGGCGAACGCCCCGGGCTGCTCCTCCGCAAGCTGCGCCTCGTCGCCGCGCTCTTCGACTTCTCCGACTCCCTCAAGCACCCGCGCGAGAAGGAGGCCAAGCGGCAGGCGCTGCTCGAGCTCGTCGACTACGTGCAGGCCCCCGCCCCCGCCGCCAACGCCAACGCGCCCGCACGCCTCCCCGACGCCGTCCAGGAGGCCCTCGTCGCCGCCATCTCCGCCAACATATTCCGGCCCCTGCCCCCCGCGCTGTACGAGTCCGCCGCCAACATCGACCCCAATGCCACCCCGGACGACGAGGAGGAGCCCTACCTCGACCCCGCCTGGCCGCACATCCAGCTCGTCTACGAGCTCCTGCTCCGCTACGTCGTGTCCCCCGACACCGACACCAAGGTCGCCAAGCGGTACGTCGACCATGCCTTCGTGCTCCGCCTCCTCGACCATTTCGACTCCGAGGACCCCCGTGAGCGCGAGTATCTCAAGACCGTGCTCCACCGCATCTATGGCAAGTTCATGGTTCACCGCCCGTTCATCCGCAAGGCCATCAATAATGTGTTCTACCGCTTCATCTTTGAGACCGAGCGCCACAACGGCATTGGCGAGCTCCTTGAGATTCTCGGCAGCATAATTAATGGCTTTGCCCTGCCTATGAAGGAGGAGCACAAGCTGTTCCTCAGCCGCGCGCTCATCCCGCTGCACAAGCCCAAGTCTGTCGGAATCTACCACCAGCAGCTGTCCTATTGCATTGTCCAGTTTGTCGAGAAGGACTACAAACTTGCTGATGCGGTCATCAGGGGTCTCCTCAAGTACTGGCCACTCATAAATTGCCAGAAGGAGGTGCTGTTTTTGGGGGAGCTCGAGGAAGTGCTCGAGGCCACACAGCCTGCTGAGTTCCAGCGGTGCATGGTGCCGCTGTTTAAGCAGATAGGGCGCTGCCTTAACAGTGCCCATTTCCAGGTATGCTTTTTTTCATTATGTTTGATCATTTTGTATCTGCTTGCTGTTATATTTCTTTGGGGTGCTCCCAAGAATATGGGTATGTAGGCAAATCTGCTCCCATGTATTTCTTGATACGCCTTTGTGAGGAAATGGGGCACATACATTTGGAAATGTATGGATAAGCCACTTAGTGTAGGTGCTAGGGAAAAACCGTATTTTGTGTGCGTACGTCATCTGTCTGTTTGTGAAATAAACTAGTTTTTAGTTCGTAACGTACGGTATCATCCATTTAATCGGACACATACATCTGGAATGTATGGATAAGGCACTTAATGTGGTGCTAGGAAAAAGCCGTTATTTTGTGTGTGTGCGTCATCTGTCTGTTTGCGAAATAAACTAATCTTTACTTCGTAACGTAGAGTTTCATCCAGTTAGATATGGAAAGGCTATCTTCTTCCTACGCGCATGTTCTTTGTGCCAAGGATGAACCAGAACTATTTTGGTGGTGTGTGCAAACAAGTTCTTTCGTCAGCGTGGTTTTTTCTTGGCCTGTTTTGTATAAGGTAAACAAGCAATCCATGACTACAGCACAAAACAAATTTGACAATGAGTATTTGTGAAACAAATTAGCATTTGTATGATTAAAAGGCTATTGCCAGTGTTTGTGAAAAATTATTAAAATGTGAATAACAACCTACATGCCCAAAAGCTGCCAGCCTATCACTTGTTTTGTTCCTGATTTGCCTTTGATGGTCTTCCGTACCTTTGGTTTCTTAGTAAACCATCAACCACCATCATTCGACGACCACTTTCATGCATATATCACAAGTGGAAGTTAGGAATCTTGTTCAGATTTTATAAAAATCTATATATACTCTTAAGTGCGTGGAAGCTAGCCATCCATGTGCCAGAACCATGAGTTGGTTACGAGATCTTATGGGTTTCAGCTCTAGCCTACCCCAACTTGTTTGGGACTAAAGGCTTTTAGTTATGTACTCTCAAGTCTTATAGTGAATACCGAATAGTGTTTGTTACTTTGTTAGTCAAAGTTCTAGTATTGCAATACTGCACTTGACAAGGATGATGCACTAGGTATTTGTGTTACCGTGTGAAAGAATCCTATGCTGCAATTAGATAGGATGTCTTATTTATCAATCCTCTATTTTTTTTAGTGTCTGATCCACACGTTTCAACAGCCTTTTGTTCTTGCTATATTTATCAATTTCCCTAGTTGTATTGTCTGTATATTTTGGCACTTGCTGCATCATTTGATATTATAAAATGGTAGATCCACCTTCGGTTAGCTTGAGTTTAGTAGAGATGACTGTGGGCTGTTAGCATGAGGTTGTGTATGGATTGACTTGAATGATGCATATCACTAAACATAAAAGAGGTCGACTTTCAATTATTTTACCAGTCCACTATGTGAGGCAGATGTGCACAGTATTGCGTTGCGTCGTAGATCAAGCTACACTTGGTCTTTCTGTTGCTGCCTAGTTTCATTGTTTGTCTTGGTCATTAGATTATGGATACATTTGTATTGTACATTTATTGATAACCTGTCTTCAGGATTGCAGTGTTTATCCAGGTTAATCAGAACAAACCCTCCTATATCCAAATATAGGATAAAGTAAGACCGTTTTGAATGTAAATCTGCACCATCTAGCTTATCCCGACTAGTTTGTTGGTGAAATTTGCGGGTTAATTGGATCTGTGCCGCTTTTATGGATGAGCGGGAAGTATGGATGTGGATAGAGAACAAATACTTTTTCATATTTGGATTTCGTAAAAGTCCATGTGAGGGCTTGTCATTAATGTAACGTGCCTTGTAGTACTTTGTTACATTTTTACAAGTTGACCTGCTCTGCGAGACTTAACTTGTACGCACCTATAAACTGTTGCTTTTTTATTGGTAATTAGCCTGCACATATTATTCAAGGGCGAATTACTTATAAGAAGTTAAGAACAACTATAAGGCATGCAAGACATCTTGTATTTTTCTATTGCTAGGCATCTGCTTGTACCATGCAAGTGAATCATTGAAGCTCAGCTAGCAG